TTCTATTGCAGTATTGCTGTTCTTCGGTGCTCGTGCCTTCTCATCTTTGTCATCCAATTCTACTTTCCGCCCCTCATATTGTATTCCTTCACTTCAGGCTCTCTGAAACTAACCTTGCCTTCTCGAGCCATCCTCATTGAAACTTCCTCTTTTTCAAAGTTTCATTTCGTTCCGTTTCTCCCAAGTTATTATTATTATTTTTTTTTTCGGACCAACTAAAGAAACCTCTGTGTCACCTCTGCTATTCTCACTATATGATCCATTTGCTAGTGGATCATCTATGTGAAGCTTCTACTCTTTTTTTTCACCATTTCATTTTGTTTCGTTTCTTCTAATTTGTTTTGCCCATCATTTCTGAAAATTTATTGCCCAAAAAAAAAAAAAAAGAACCCAGGTCCTTTCATGTTCACTTTGATTCTGTCCAACTAAACGAACCTCTTTATCTCACTTGTGCTATTCTCACCATTTCATTCATTTGGTGGTTCTTTTCTTGTCTCTGTACCTCTGTTATCTGTGTATTGTTTTGTGTCTGTTTTCCAATACCTAAAAAAAAAAAAAGTGGAAATGTCGGGCACCGAAGTCGGTTTTGCTGTTTCTGGCAGAGTTGCCGGCAAAGTTGCAGAGAACCTGCTGGTTGATCGAATTTTCAATCCAATCTGGAACAGAATAGCTCGTGTGTTCAAATGGAAGACTAATTTAAAGAATCTGGAGAAAGAAGTTAAGAAGCCGGAAGCTGAAAGAGATAGTGTGCTGCAATTTAGGGACGCTGCTGAGAGAAGAGGGGAAGAGGCTGTGCTGAAGGTCAAGATTTGGCTGACTGATGCAGAGAAGTACATTGGAGAGATGGAGAAGTTAGAGGATGATGAAGACAAAGCCAAGAAGAAGTGTTTCCTAGGGGGTCTGTCCTAATCCTAGGGCACGTTACAAAATTAGCAAGAAAGTAGAGAAGTATTTGGTGGATGTTACTCAACTCCTACAAGAAGCTGAAAAATTCAAGATCCCAGATTCCCACTGTCCTCCAAAATCTACAGCACCAGTTAATAAAGGTTTTGAGGACTTTGGGTCAAGGACGCCTGATTTGGATCGTATTATGGAGGCCTTGAGAAGTACTGACACTGACAAGATAGGTGTGTATGGGATGCCTGGTGTTGGAAAGACCATGTTAGCCAAAGAAGTTGCTAGACGAGCTGGGGAAGCCCATTTGTTTGATGTAGTTGTATTGGCTTCTGTGACAAAGGATCCAGACTTGAAAAGAATTCAAGGAGTAATAGCAGACAAATTAGGTCTACAGCTACATGGAGAGACTGAATTTGGGAGAGCAAATCAACTGAAGGCATATCTGAAGAAAAAGAAGAGGATCCTTGTGATTTTAGATGACATCTGGTCGAGGCTAGATTTGGATGAACTTGGAATTCCTTTTGAAGAAAGAAGGAATGAGGCATGGTCGAGGCTAGATTCGGCTGAACCTGGAATTCCTTTTGAAGAAAAAAAGAATGAGGCAAGTTCAATTGATGAAGAACAGATGCAATGCAGGATTCTCTGCACATCTAGATCTCTTAATGTCTTACAATGTGATATGCGTACTAATCAAAATTTTTATGTTTGCCAATTACGAGATGAAGAAGCATGGGAGCTTTTGAAGAAGATAGTTGGTGATAAAATTGAAAATTTTGGCTTGCGGGATACAGCAATGGAGATTGCCAAAGAATGTGCCGGGCTCCCCCTAGCCATTGAAACTCTTGGCAACGCTTTAAAAGATAAGGAACATTATGAGTGGAGGGATGCTCTGCTACAACTGAAAAAGCCCTCTCCAGAGAACTTCATGGGGATCTCTGCAAATGTTTACTCCGCAATTGAATTGAGTTACAAGTATTTAGAAAGAGAAGAATTAAAGCAAACTTTCTTGCTTTGTAGTTTGCTTGGACAGAATGCTAATGTAGAAGACTTGCTAACATATGGCTTTGGTTTGGGCTTATTTCAGAATGTCAATACAATCGGAGAAGCATGAGACAGGGTGCTAACATTGGTTAGTTATCTAAAATCTTGTTCTATGTTGCTTGATGGTAAGAGCATTAATTTGCATGATATTGTTCAAGATGTTGCCATATCTATTGCTTCAAGGGACCACCATGTTTTATCATTAACACATGATAACATACCCAAAATGTGGTCGGATAGAGAGGGCATGCGAGATGTCAAATGGATAAACATAGAACATGCTAATATTACTGAGCTACCTGATGAGCTGGAATGTCCGTGACTTACCTTATTTTGTTTGTCTAGCAAGAATCCTTCTATGAAAATTCCAGACAATTTTTTTCGGAGAATGCCAAATCTTAGAGTCTTGGATTTTACCAAGATGCATTTCTCAACCATGCCTTCATCAATTTGCTTCCTAAAAAACCTCCGTATATTACATATGGATCTAAGTGTTATAAAAGACATTGCTATTGTTGCAGAGCTGAGGGGGTTGGAAGTCCTTAGCCTTTCAGGAAGTGCTATTGAAGAGTTGCCAGTGGAAATTGGACAGTTGATCCAACTAAAGTTTTTAAATTTGAGTGATTGTACCAAGCTCAAACTGATACGACCACATGTCTTAGAGAGTTTGTCCAGGCTAGAAGAACTGTATCTGGGAAACAGCTTCAAGCAATGGGAAGCTAACGGACTTGGAAATCAAAGAAATCCTAGCCTTGCTGAGTTGAAGGATTTGCATAACCTAGTTGCTTTAGATGTGCATGCATGTGATGTCCAACTTATTCCAGAAGACTTATTCTCTGAAAGATTGAATAGATACAAGATATTCATTGGAGAGGTGTGGAACAGCTGGGATAGTTCTTTCAAAAGCTCAAAATTATTGAAGCTGGAGTTGAATACAAGAATTACTTTTGACCATTCTATTTGCATGTTGTTAAAGAAAACAGAAGAACTACATGTAGAGAAACTGAAGGGTGTGAAGAATATATATAGTTCCTGAGTTAAATGTTGAAGATTTTCAGGAACTGAAGTATCTTTACGTTCAAAATGCTCCTGAGATTCAGCATATCATTAACTCAGTGGGGGAGATTCCTTGCTATGTATTTCCCCTCTTAGAAGTACTATTTCTTCAGAATTTGAATAACATGGTGAAGATTTGTCATGGCCAGCTTGCAGAAACATCGTTTAGAAGATTGAGAACTATAACCGTTGAATGTTGTAATCAGCTGGAGTGTTTATTCCCAATCTCCATAGCTAGACGACTTCTCCAACTTGAAGAAGTTAGAGTAACAGATTGCTCTAACATGTTAGAGATTGTTGATGATGAAGGGCAAGTGACCACTAATGATATAGCAGAAGCAAATGAGAATTTTGAGTTTGCCCATCTGCGGTTCTTGAATTTGCAGTATTTGCCAAAGTTCATTAGATTATGCCATGGACTTGTGGAAGCAAATGATTCAAGGTCCAAGCCTGTATCACTTTTCAATGAAAAGGTATTTATGGTTTTTCTTTTAAACAATATATATAACACACTTTAATAATCTATACATATATATATATATAGAGCACACAATCCTAAATAGATTAATTAATAGGAACTTGAGATCTTGATTAGGTATTATACTGTATTGGCAGGGCTAGATTGTGTTATAAGTAAATAGTTGGCCTTGCTGAGGTAAAAAAAAAAGTGTGATTGAAAATTAAGTAGAACTTTATTTTTGGTAGAATTTAGTTTTGAAACATATGCATTTTTTTTGGGGGGGGTTAAAGAAACACATGAAGTTTTGGTTCATGGAAAATGAGAAAACAAAGGGATAAGTTCAAGGAAAATTGAAGAAAAATAGAATGAAAATAAACAAAAATGATTTTTTTCCTGTTGTTTATTTGTTAATGTAATTCTATTAGAAGTAAAACAAATACAATATATTGTGAGACACTAAATCATATGCTTTATTTTTTTACTTTTAAAATCTTTCTTTTCCTTAAGAGTAGTGATATAGAATGCCAAAATTTGATATCAATGATTGGCATATGTTATGTTATTAAATGAGCTAATAAAGAGAGCAAATCATTAAATAATATAAGGTTTATCTTTTAATGTTTTAAATGATGTAGACTAATAATGTGACATAAGTTATGTTATTAAATGAGCTGAAAATAATGTAAGGTCTACTTTTTAATACTTTAAATGACATTACTCATGCCACATCATTGGTTCCAAATTTTTATCTCATAAAATTTGTCTATTCTATCATTATTCTTTCCTTAATATCTTCCATGCACGAACCAAGCATAACATTAAATTCCTAGGGGTCAAAATAATTGCATGAGCTTCCAACTGTAAGTCTTGATGTCTGCTTAGATGCCTTTAATTAGACATATATTTGAAGTAATTTGGGACAAAGAGTTGTGTGATTGTTTTGCAGACTATCTTTTCAAACTTAGAGGAGTTGCAATTGTCCTTGCTCAACGTCAAAAGTATATGGAGCAGTCAGCTTTCCACAAAATCCTGCTGTATTCAGAGTCTGACAAAGTTGATCATTGAGGGCTGTGATCATTTGAAACACCTATTGTCACCCTCTATGGC